CACTCACAGACAATGAATAATGGTCCGGCCCTCCCCTTCTTCACATTCCTCCTGCCATTTTTCAACTTGGAGGATTAATTTCAAGAAGGATCTCTTGGAAGCTGGTACATCTCTGTGAGAAGCCCATCCCAAATACTGGAACTGCTGCACCATTAGATAGCCCTCTTGTGGCTGAAGGAAATCAAAGAGGCTTAGGTCAATAAGGCATCCTTACATCTAGGTTGAGAAAACCCATATATAAAACTAATATGGTACAGAAGTGTTTATATTATTGACAGATTACAACATGTATACTTTGCATACCATAGGTCTCTACTTAGTTAATACTTCTTGGGCTCAAAACAGATATAAAAAGGAAAAAAATTGTAAATATTTTCAAGACAAAGTCAATGCTTATCAGTCAGTATTGCAACCTATCCTGACTTCTAAAAGGCAAAATTCTCAGGAGTCAGTGTGTTAAGGAGTTTCATTCTTAGCTTCAGAACCATCACTGTTGAATTCCCAGACCTAGAGAAATGCAGAGACACGCCTTTAGCTTCATTTTAAACCTTCCCATGCATGAACTGACCCCATTACAAAGAAGCAAGTAATACTCAGGGATCTTTTTCCTTAAATAATGTCTTCCCTTTCTGTCAGAGTATTACATCATGAGGGCCTTGTTGCCAGTTTGAGCTTTCCACATGGTAGATCCTTTAGAATTGAATTAAGATGACAAGAGAAGTCTCAGCTACTGGGAAAAAGCCTGTTCAGCTTCTTGGAGTGGAGGCAGGTGAAAAGTAAAAGAAATATGCATTTTGTAATAGGGAGAACAGTGCACAGAAATATTTAGAAAAAAAGACGTTAAGGAAAAATGCACAGAAAATGAAGAGAAATAGAGAATTAGAAAATCAAAACAGGAAAAAGTGAATAAGAAATGAACTGGAAAAAAAAAAAAAAAGAAAAAAAAAAAGAAAAGGAAATTAAACATACACCAACAAAAAAGTGTTGTAGCATAATATTTACCACTGTCCCTACTCCTCTGCTTCCTGTAGTTTCCAAACAGGGCATGAAGAGCTGATTTTTTTTTTTTTTCCCCTCAACTCTGAATGTAAGCAAAGTACAATTTACAGAAGAAGCTAGTCACACACAGACTGCTCTTTATACTTGGAAAAAATCAAAGTGTGACCAAAATATTAGTTAAAAAAGAAAACGCTTTGTATATACTTTGGTTTCTCCAAAAGTAATACCTCCTATTTATTTCCATGGGCACTACAACAGATACAAAGAGCGTAATAATACTGTTTGATGGAGCAAATTCTCAGCTACAAAACAGTGTTTTTAGACTCAGACACCCCTATTAGCCAATTTGCGTCAGTGAGGTCATTGAAACGCTCTTCTTTTTGCAGTGTGACAGCTGTGAATGGCCATCCTCAACATGTCTTGTCTTTCATGTCACTGTCACCACTGTTGAAACACACCAGCCACTGCCTCACTGTGCTCACATCCACTGTTTGGTCTCCATCAATGTTCAGCAAGCATCAATGAATGTCAGTGGGTACAATTTTTTCTGCATGGAGAAATTCAATGACACCCTTGTGCTTCATGTGCACTTCCATGTCAGACACCATTCTATCAGACTTCCCCTCTGCTGCCATCTGTCATACAGCAACAAAATGTAATAGAATATTGGCAGGAAGGTTCAAACTCTACTGCCATACCACCAACATCTGCCTCTGATGTTGTGAGTCAACATAATAACATAGGAGGCATTGCTTTTGAAGTTTGTCACAACAATTGTTCAACATTAAGAAAGTTACAATTATACTACAAACCACAGTTGGTGGCCAATATCTAATATTAGATGGTGGCCTGATCAGTATTAGCTGAATGATACAGTACGTCAACCAGGTTGGCTGGTTAACTACACAGATGCATCTGTATCTTTTTACCTGTAGGCAACATAAATAAGTGATTTATAGAGGTGAGCAAGAAGAAGAGACACTGTGTTGCAAACAGGGTTTGATAAGATGCTGTGACAATGTGAAACAGTTTGGAACAGCAAAGAGACAAGACAATGCAACGTGTGAAAGAACTGACAAGACTGCAAGACTGGCATTGGTTCTGAAGTCAAGAAAAGGAGACAAAAATAGGTTAAGGCACAGTGGTGCAGAGTCTTTCAGAGGAACTTCCAGAGTTTTTTCACACCCCACTTTATAGGATGTGTAGTTCTTGGAGCTAAAACTGAGAAGGTGCTGGTTGCACAACTACTTTGAGTTCTGCAGTTCCCAATGTAGGATGGGAAACACCTCATGGAAGCTGCAAACAAAATACCTGTCACTACATGCTCTTTACATGGATATTCCTTTCTGCATACACTGACTAAACAGAATCCTTCTCATACAACTTTTGCTTATCATGGAGAATACTATAGAACAGTCACTCATCTCACTGTTCTCTCTACCTAATGGGCAGGTCTAGTAAAGCCCTGGAAGCTAGCATTAGATTTTGGTATTTTAATTTTTCTGTCTTAAGAACATTAATATTTTACTACTATTCAAAATTAAAAACCAGAATAGCCAAGAGAGTGTTAAAAACTGTTACATGTTGTTATGATAATGCTTACTCTTGTTAGATTGCATATCCTGAAAATTCGGTTTATCACATCGCAGTCCATTGAACAAGACACGCATTCCACTTGAATGGGACCATAACGCAGTATTCCTTCTTCTGGCCAGTATTGTGGGCAGCCCTGGGCCAGAGCAAAATGGGTATAAATAAATGTTAAGTTACAATGGGAGCATTGTGTTGCAACACTGTAGACACCACACCTGGCCTTTACTTGTATTAATTAGTTGCTGTAAAGAAGAGCAACAAAATAACTGTAAAACAGCTGCACTGCCCAACATTCTGATCACATAGTGGGTGCAGAGATATTAAAACATGTGACAGTAAATGGAAAACTCAAGCCCCAAACTAACCTGTGCTAAGTCGACCTCGTTTAACATCACAAGAGAAGTACAGCCATAGTCATACACTAATCTCCAGAAATCTTTCACAGTGTTTGGTAAAGGATGTTGCGTGACAATAAAAGCTGCCGGCTGCCTGTAGCTCTGCAAAGGCAAACAAATTTATTAGCAATTGGTAGAGGAAGTACTTCTTAACTTCCACTCAAACTCCACAACAAAAATAAACTATAAATAGAACAAAGCTGTAACATCAATTACAGCAGATTTCACTGAAGCTGATGTTAAAAATACATCACTGCATCAAGTAAGAACAAGGACGCTGCTGTGCTCAGGTCTGTGACCTCCAGTGATGGGCTGTGTACCACAGTTCAAATGCACAGATGGCACAGCAGTGGCTCTGAAGGGCTCTGCTCAGAAGCTGAGGCTCAGGGCCGTACCATTTCAGGCACTGTGCCAGGGAGACTCAGCAGACAACCTGTTTCTATTCTGCACAGAGAAGTGTAAAAGTCTCAGCTAGTCACCCTGCACACACCAGGACACATACAAGTTCTGTAACTAAGATGCAAACAAAGCTCATCCCTGACAGTATACTGAGGTGCAATCCCAAGCTGATGTCAGTTTTTACTAGACTTCAGTCCTGGTCATTAGAATTACTGAACTGATTTCCATGACAAGCAGAGGATAAACAGCAAAATACTATTTTCTGTCAGGACAGAAGATTCTGTTGCTGAGTTATGCACAAATACAAAGGGTTTTTCAGCCCAGCATAAGTTGCCTCAGATACAACTAATAGCAGAGGGGTTAAGTCTCTTTAGGATGTGACTTGCTAGCAGCAATCAGAAGAAAAAAGAATGGAAGTTTTATGCAGACAATCTGCAATTACGCATGGCAGAATTCTGCAACAAGGGAACTGGCAAGAAAGCACTGACAGCTTCATCTGAGAAAAAGAGTAAGGAGGTGATACCCTTGTTAGGCTTATGGGAACCTAAGTGTTGAGTTTGAAGTCAAAATTCTGGGACTTCTGTTCACAGTGCAGGAACCCCCACACTAAGTACTTAGCACTTCTACTGATACAAAAGCATTTTAGATGCTTTTTATTGAAATAAGTAGATTACATTAGCCTAGAAGAGGGACCTGGCAGGGCAGCTCTAACACTTTGCTTGCAGATTGGCATGAGGGAATTTCACATGCAATATATTAATATGTCCTCAGAGAGCACAGTTTGAGTCCAGGAAGGAAAAAATACTTTTTCCCTTTCTACTGACTGTAAATTGTGAAGATAGCAAACTAATACCTTTAGCATCTATTTGAAAATAAAATAAGGAAGAGGATAGTTTTTATCCTATAGTTTGCTATCTTTCCCCATTGTGTGAAGTATACTGAGGTGCAGCCTGTGTCCTGCTTCCTCCATCTACTCAGCAGCAAAGAGGAACATCAGCTGTCAATTCTTCCCTTATATTTTTAAGAAATGAAACATGTACTAGCTGATGCTTTCCTAGCCCTTTTCCCATCATTTCTGGTTTCTCCTGAGACAAAAACTCATACTGAGATTAAGATGATCAGACCTTCAAAAAGAGCAGGCAGGGTATCTGCTGTCACACTGGGAAGCAGACACCTTTTTGTGGGAACACAGGAACAAATACACTGTGGAAATAGGAAAGTTTCTATTTCTGTTTTGCTACTGAAACTCTCTTTTCCTGGCAATGAGATTCTCTTCTCTGACTAAATCAGTACTAAAAAAATCACACAAAAAAAAGAGCAAAAAAACCCCCCCTTTCATTAACCAAATTTTTAACTCTGTACAGACAGCTTTGTTATATGTCTTCTTTATAATATAATGCTTTCTGCTGCTTTCTTTCCCATTATTACTATCATTTCAGTCTGTACAAACTTGCCTCCATTAACACACTGCTTGCTTTCTCTCTCTGCCTGCTGCCTCAGATTGCTTCTGCCATACCACCTTTAGTTTCTATTGTTTTCCTTTTTCCCCAAACACTCCTTCACATAGATGTGCTGGTTGGTCTCTGTCACATCAATTTTATCCAGGTGCTTCATGTAATTTTAGCTGCAATTCTAAACAATTTTGGTTGCTACCAAAATTCTACTCACTACTCTAATTCATCCATTCAGCCTCTGTAACTCTGTAATGGATTAGTCTCACACATGCTACTCTATTTTTCTGGCACAATAGCTAATTGTGAGATTAGGAACTGTATTTTGCTAGCAGTTCAAACGTTTCCTGCACTAGCTCACGCAGAGCTCTGGGACAAATACCATTCAGTCCTGATGACTTTTGATGCTATTTACCATTTTATTCCAGAATCTCTTCTTGACACTGCAGTTTCTGACAGAAATACATTTTTGAGGAAAGTGAGATGTTCTGAAAATCAGGCCACTTATTGAAGTATTTACAGTAAAAAGAGGCTTTAGAGGCCTAACTTTGGCAGTGTTAATGGAAGGCACAGGCAGGTATCTGACAGCATGTCTGATGAGCCTCTTTATCAACAAGACATTTATAAGTAGGTTCACCTCCATTCTTTCCATTACTTCACTTTTTTCCCCCGAGAGTACTTCTGCCACTCAAACATCAAAGATTAAAAATCTTTATATGAGAGCTACAAGTCAAAATACAAACAACAGAAAAACCCCACGCTATCCCCAAAGCATACCAAAGAAACATTTTGCTTCCTCTCCCCCTATCTCTTCTACTTCAACATACATAGATTTTTTTCCTAAAACAGATAGTAACCTCATCCTTAGGTTGGTAATATTTACTTCCAGATAAGCATAAGATTTTTGAGATCCTGCTGTGATTTTCAGGTCTGGAAACTAAACCTTTATGTAACGGTGTTGAAATGGAGAGCTTTCCAGTGGGTCACATAAATATGCAAAAGACTGAAGATACCAAACCTTCTGAACCAGCAACACAAGCTGGTGGGCTTTCCTTCCCATTCACCACCTTTCTTTCTTAAGACTGGGCACTATGCTAAGAAAGAACTACTCTTTCTTATACTAGTAATTGTCTTCTCTCATATTACACAGCTTTCCATGGCACAGTATGTAGACAAAGAAGACAGTCTCTTACATCCATAAGAGCTGCATTGATGTAGTTGCTGCTCTCCCCATCAATAGTAATTAAGAAGGGCAGACATCTGTCAGGTGGCAGCATATCCATGAAGCGGTTCTTGTCATGGTTCCTTGGCAAGCAAGCTATGCTGCAGTCCTCGGCTTGCAGGCGAGGGGTAACAGAATTCAGGGTCTAAGAAAAAGAGGAGACTTACTTTAATACACCAGCATTACAGACAACATTCTCAAGATTCACTAAGTTATTAATTTAAAATATTGCAATGTGAGAAAACATAAAGCATTAGCAAAAAAATCTTATATGTTTTGATGAGAATAAAAATACATTTCAAATAAGAGCTCCTATCTGTATGATAAGGACACTAAGGCTTTTTGAGGGCATTAAAGATGCTCCAAGTATCACTGAATGGCTTCCACCAGACACCATCCCCTTTGAAAGGAATAAAGCAAAGAGGATCCTTTCCACACAAGCCGAAACTCTCTCTGGTTCTCAGCCAGTGCTCTTTATTCCAGACAGATACTTACTGAAATGTTATTCAAAGAGTGGTATTTCATATTTAAAGTAACTCTGCAAAGCATGTAAACATGGATACTTTATTTTGTGGAATACAAGTAAGAGATAAAATGCTATAAATATGATATGAAAACTCTTTCCCTTAAAATAAATTAAATGTATCTACAGACAAAAAAAAAAAAAAAAAAAAGTTGACACGTGAAGAGTTAGTAAAAGCTGTGAATACCTGAAACTCATCTTTGAGATGTGAAGAGTTTGTCTGAGAGTCTATTCTAATCATATCAAAATAAGCAGCTTTGAATTCACAGACAGGAATGGCAGTTTCCCCACACAGGCAAGCTTCTAGAATGGCATCATGAATAAAGATGTACTGCTCCTACCAAATTACACAAAGAAACAAGAATTATTGTCATTTAAAAACAACCAATCTTTCCTTCTTTTCAGAAAAATAGATCTGCACACTGTAAAACTCAAACAAGGTACTGTCCATCAATCCATTAAATACTGCTTTAGTACAAACACTCTTGTCATAATCGGGAACCAATTTTAAGTTAGTAAAACTTAAAAGCACAGACACAGCAAATTATTTGAGGGGCTCATTTTTCTAGTGGTGCTTGTGGGTTTCTGTATATATGCCAGGGACTTGCTGTCTTTTTTCATTTTATTTTTCAAAAACAGTTTTTCTTACAGTACTAGCAGAAAGTGTAAATTGCTTCAAGCACTACCTGTGATTAGCAATTATTTGGCATGCTGTGTTCTCCTTGTGTGTGTGTATGCGAGCTAGTACACCAATTACCTAGTAGCTAGGTTGATTGTAAAATCAAGTGTGTCTCTATAGGAAGCATTTCTTCCCATTATTTTTCTGGCTTTCCCTTTGTTACAAAGTCAGGCAAGTACTCACTTGTATGATGACAGAAAGAGCTGACAGGTTTGTTGCATGACCTTGGCACACAGCAGTGCCTCCCAATGGAGGCAACTATCCCCCAGCTCTTGTCCACTGTCTGCTCTTTGGCTAGTAACACTGAAATTCTAATCAGGCATATTTCAGAAAGCATCAGGTGCTTTGAAGGAAAACTACTTTACCTCTGTCTGTACCATGTTGATGCGACGGGACCGTAATGCTTTGACACAGTTGTAGATATCCACAACGCCTTCTCTTTCTGCCATGTCTAGCATGATATCAATCACAATATAGCAACCTGTGCGTCCAGCACCAGCACTGAAGAGGAGCAGTAAACACTGTTAGAAATAGCTCCATGAAAACACCTATAAAATTTATAAACTCACTGCTGTGAGCATTATTTGTAAAACCATTCAGTTCTTTTTTCATCACAACCACTACCAAATATTAATTTTCTCTCCTTCATAATGTCTTTTTAAAAACTTTTGGTGTGCCCCAAACAACCTTTTTTAATCAGATTTGATTAACTGAGTAATAGCAAAAAGCATCTGTTTTTCTCTTTTTATCACCTAAATCAATGCATAGAGTAAAAAAGAAGTTACTTGAAATTAAATTTGGAAGATTATTAAGCTCATGCACTTCAAAATATGACAGATCTTGTCTTTATTTAATAAAAGATTAGGGATGATTTCTAAGTGATATCTTACAGTCAGAAATTAAAGTGTTCATTTTATCAGCCAAGCACTAAACTGGTTTAGGCTGCAGTGTCCCACAGATTCTTGCTTGATTTATTTCAATTTTATATAAAGCTAATGACAATTTTTGCATAGAGAATCTTAACATTTTAAAATCTGTAAAGAGTTAGTAACTTTATCTGTAGTATGTAATTGAACATTTGACAAGCTGAAAGGAAATCATCAAAAGACTGTGTCTTAACAATACAACCCTTGCAAAACTTGCACAGGAAACAACAGCCTGTACCTGTTGCCACTAACCTCATTCTATCTTCGTTCATCTACTTGTTTACATAGATTTAATTAATAATCTGTTCCAACATTATATATAATGCTAGATTATCACACAGCTTTATCTACACTTCTTGAATCCTGTCACAAAATCAGACAGTAGGTTACCTAATGGTAGCCAGGAATATAAAATTACTTTAGCTGGTTCAGTTCCTGCAGGAAAAAGCAAATCTTTGGCCATACCAGTTAGGAAAGCAGTATTAGAATTCAGCTATTTTCAAATGTTGCTGTAGACAACTAAATCCTACTGCAGTATGAATCAGGTAATTCAAAATGAAAAAAACAAAACCCAAAACACTTCAAAATGATGAATGCTTCACAAGAAACTATTACAAATTCTCACATACACAGCTGTGGAAAAAATCAGTGTACCACATCTGCACACACCTGCAGTGGACGACAATAGGTCCTGCACTAGGAGGATTAGATAATTTGACTCTTCGTATAAATGAAAGCAGGCCTGTAGCATTGTAAGGAACTCCATGATCTGGCCAGCCAGTGAAATGAAACTGTTTGACTTCACGGATTTCATTGTAGCCTCTCTGTAAAAGGCAAAAAAAAGGTTATGAATTTCAAAGTATTTCACAGATAAGATATCCTTTGACTCAAATAATGGCATCAGTGATAGAACCTACATGCTATTTTCATCATTTCCCCAATTATTTAAAGCAAAGAACATATAAAGTGTAAAGACATTATTGTATTTTAATTTCCATTTTGAAGTTCATCATTCTTTTGCTATTATAGTATGCTAGTTTTGCCTCATTAGATAGTTTTTCTATACTTAGATGTAATTTGCATCAATTTTCAGAACTTCTGCTCATTGACAGTAAGTTCTCAACATCCACAGGCAAGTATAATAATGTATCAGAGGACCACAGCTGTATCATATATCTTGCATTCACAGAGTTTGTTCTTGGATTAACTGAGATTGACTCAGCTGCATTCAGGGCAGAGCGAAAGGAAATGAATGGCATGATTCCTAACAGAGTACTTGAGCTCAGCTCAGAAGTCTGGCTACAGAGAAAAGGTGAATGTAAGAAAGGGGATGGTAGCAGTCAACATTTCTGGGGAAACTGAAATCCAGAGTGACATGAGTGGAAAGACCTGGTTCCATGGCTGCCTATGCTGTGGACTTAACCAAACAGAGGGATTTGGTATCCCACCTGAACACATGGAAGCACAGTCCCCAACTTACTTCTTGCCATCAGGGAATAGTATTTTTCTGAACCCTTTCAAAATGTGCTCACCCTTCCAAGAGTGAAGGTCCTGACCACGTACTCTGCCAGGGGCTCCATCTCTACACAAGTCACCTTGAAGTCACCATAAACTTCTGTGTCGTCAGGCCAATATTTGTAACACTTGACCTAAATATAAAATGAGGAACCACTTTACATCCAAGAAAAATAAAACCTTGAAGATATGTTACTGCACGTACTACGTTACACCATACTTTTCCAAAATGACCACAAACTCATGTGACTTGTCACAGCTAATCGTTTTTCTGTCAGGTCAAGTACTAGTTACAGAGAGTTTATGCTGCTTTATATAGCTGCAGTTACATACCAAATTCATTTCTAAATTAGCTTTTTAAAAATTTTAGAGTTGAACTATGGGATACGTTTCCACTTATGTTAAACTGGGATGCATTTCATATCAGTAATCAAACCATTGCAAGTAATCTCAGATATATTATTCCCTGAGGGATAGTTACTGATATACTGTAAACAATTTGCTGATTTCTATTCACTGATATAGAAGTACATTTAATCAGTACTCCACTTACTGTACTCATTTCAGTTACCTAATATGCAGAAATGAATTTTGTCTTCAGATGATTTTTCACTCAACAAAACCAACATAGTGGCAGTTAGCTTTGTTCTCACACAATACTGTAATCTGCACTGATGTGTGGACTGTCAATTCTCCCCTTTTCTCTTCTCTCCTCTCCTTCACAAGACTTGCCTACATTCTGCTAGTGACACGTTTTGTCAGCAGGTTTTTCTTTAGGCCTGCAGTATCAGAAGAAACAAAAACTTACTCTTCCAACTTCCACTAAGTTTGTGACCATCACAACACAAGCCGATTGCTCCTGCCATATCATTCTCCAAAAATCATACACAGTCTCATGAACTGGACCTGTAAGAAAAATGCCAGGTGACACATGCAGCAAAATAACAGACAAAGTGAATGCTAAAAATAAAATCCATTTCTTTACAGAGCTGGCATGCATGAATGCACTTGCTCAAAGATGAAAGCTTCATGAAACCACATTATCACACCTTCACAGCAGTTTCCGGCCTACATTGTTATTGCTAACTAGTGCTCAGTTTTCTCAGTTTAACTGAATTACCACATGAAATAAATGAATCACTGGAAGTGGCTTGAAAACTACAAGGATATAACAACACGTGACTAAATCTATACTATGTTTGCTTTACATTTTTTAAATAACATGTTGAGTATGAATTTCTTTGGATGTTCAACAACTGGTAGTAATACCAGCAGTGGGAGAGGCCATAGACTGCATTCACTGCCATCTCAATGCCAGCAAAGAGAGCAGCCATCAACAGATGCTGAAGCACAAAGGCATTTAAACTTATTTAAGTATACTTCTAAAAAGAAAACAAGGAACACTTGTTTAAGTTTTGCCTCCTGCTCTGCTGCAGGGATCAGATGCATTTGATTGAGTGACAGTGGCTTTTGCCACGTTACACCTATCTCAGAAACAGCACTCTACCACAGTATAGCAGTACTGTAGCACTGCTGCGCATGACATGCACCAAACTTGATCCTTCATGTATGTTGTGGTTTAACCCAGCAGGTGGCTCAGGACTACGCAGTTGTTCGCTCACTCTCCCCCTTCCCAGTGGGATGGGAAGAAAATTAAAAAAAAAACCAACACAATGAAGTAGAACTTGAAGGTTGAGATAAAACTACTTACTAAGATAAAGTATAATATCTGTGACTATATATGTATATATCAATGTATACAAATTGTGACAAATTGCACAAGCAATTGCTCTCCAACCCCTGACTGATGCCCACCCAGCCCCCCAGACAGCAGAAGGGAGGGAAATGAATGCCCACTCCTTTCAGTGCTCTCTTTCCAAACAATGTCATACAATATGGAACATAATATGGAATACCACTTTGGCCAGTTTAAGTCAGTTGTCCTGATTCTGTCCCCTCCCAGCTTCCTGGGCTCCCCCAGCCCTTTGCTAGCAGGAGTTGAGAAGCTGGAATGGCCTTGGCTCTGTACCACACTGCTTTGCAGCAACTAGAAACATCAGTGTGTTATTAACATTGTTCTTCTCCTAAAACCAAAACATAGCATCATACCAGGCACCTTGAAGAAAACCAATTCCATCCCAGCTGAAACTAAAACAATGTGCACACTAAAGCAGCAACCAATTTTTGTACCTGTACACAATACAGTGTGCTACAATTTACACAGTAAAACAAAAATAAAATGCAAATGTAGACTTAACCATAGAGATACCAGCTTAAATAGCACTTGCACATAAATAAAAAAGTGTGGACAGAAATATACACATCCTGCTTTAAAACAAGCATCTAGTTTGCCCCTTTTTGTGTAGACTTACAATCAACCAAGGGCACTAATAACAAGATATTTCCAGCCAGCTATCTGATTATACTCCCAGATGAAATAATGACACTTCTAAATCTAATTATTTTTATTTTAATTCATAGCTCCTGGCATTTCATTGCAATTTTAGTCTAATCTATTCATTTTTCCTCACTGTGAGGAGTTTTATCAGAAATACAAAATGAATAATCTCCATAGAAATTCAATTTTTTCCTCTTACTCCCCTTTTTATTTAGCAGTATGTTATACTATAACAATTTTCCTCCTTTCCTTCTACAGAGATGCTTTGTCCATCTTGGGGCTTGCATTACCCAGATTTGCTGAGATAGTGCTAAACTTATCTTTCCATCTCCATCCTGGACTAAATCCATAACAGTAAAATAAAACATTGCAGTGTGGGAAAAAAAATGCCTTAAGACAGGTTGAAACCATTCCCTGTCCACATACTTCCACTCTCTATTCATCTTCATAATTGGAAATCACGGTAGTAGGTAGTGACTTTATCAGCTGAATTTATCACTGAAAGAATTGCTCAATATATAATTAACATGACAAATAAGAGCATTTTTTGCATTTATTCACATTCCTCCTAAACATGCTATGTTAATTTACCATAACACAAGATAACAACACTCAATATTGGATACACTTTAATTTAATCTACTTTCATTTTAGAAAAATGTCCCTGGATATTGCAAAGAGCACTTATTAGGTTGGATTAATACTGACAGATTCTTACCTTGGGTTGCAATGTAGTGACTTGGTCTCTGATATCCCTAAAAGAATAATACAGGTAGGTTTGAGTATCATATTACTATTGGGGAGGAGAAAATAAAGCACGATGTACTACAGAATTCTTGTGTCTAGACAACCTTTTCAGAATAAACCAATATTTAAGAACAGCATGAAGCTCAAACCCTAAAAAAGCTGTTAATCCTGAAAAGGTTTGAATGACAACAAATAAAATGGAAATAACATCTGACTTAAATAGACACTGGACCTAAAAACTAGTCCTCTCTTGACATTATCTTTCCAGCCGAATACAATGAGGCTTTTATTTAAAATTTAGTAAAAACTGTCTTTGTCATCAGATTATCTCAATAGTTGGTCAGTGTACTCAACTCTTTCAACATTACAAAAAGACAAAACAAATAAAAACCAAAAATCATAAAAACATAATTTTGCCTTCTCATAGAGTTACTATAAGGCACAAAGAGGTTTATACTCAATCTATAAATAAAATATTTCCCATGGCAGAGCTGGACAGTGTGCTGCGTGCACACAGAATCAAGGTCATACTGCTGGGGAATTAGCTGCAGAATTTTACACTACTGCACAAAGTGTGCATGTACTGAACTAGACATGATATGCATGAGTATATACACATACATATTTATATTTACATACGAATACAGATATACAACTTTGCACAATAATCAAGCTTTTCCAATTAGCTGGGTCAACGCTAACTATACTGCCAATATATACTATATGCCAATACTAACTATATTGTATGGCATTAAACAGCAATTGTTTGTATAAAAACTACAGGACAAACAGATTCTGCTCTTGAGGAAGCCAATGAGACTATTTTGATCAGTGCCAGCAACATTATATATAAAGATGATATACAAAGATGAAGGAAATATGCATTATTGGTAAGAAGACAATACAAAATTTCACTACATGCAAGGAAAGGAGTAACTCCAATTATTTCCTAAGTTATGGATTTATTAAGTGACTTGAATCAAGTATTGTATTATAGGGCTTCAGGAGTCCTTGGATTCCCAATACACAATTCTAGCTACTAAACTGAAGGATTTCAGTGTACCCAAGGAGTTTATATCCTTTCCTATGGACTGCTTCGTTATTTTGTCTAGATGGAAAACACTTTCCTTTAGGGCTTATGAAATGACTTTTGAGCATCCTACTCTTGACTTCACATGAGGACAAGACTACATCAAAGTATTGAAAAAAATATTTTCCTGGAGTCCATAAGATCGAACCCCAACTTCAAATTATTAAATTGCAACAAGTGCTACCCTCTTTAACATTTGGTGATTCTTTCCAGAAGGTAAAAGTGTCACTTTAAAATTACAGAATGCTAGTTTTAACTTGTAGCCTTCCTGTTTGGTTATAATGAGATCCTATTTACTTCTAAATAAGAAAAACAATGTCCTAAGGGAACTGGAATTACTACAGAATTGGGAGAATTTTGTTGTTTAAAGCCGCAGGCAAAATATCAAAGGCCGAACACTTCAGAGAGATTGCCATATAACGTACGAAAATAAAAAGACAGCGGTATACCTGGAGCTAAATCTTTTTATCCATGGAAGCTCAGACAGTTTTAAACAATTCATCGACTAACAGTGGACAAGAAAAATGAGTAATATGCAATTACAAAGAAATCAAACCCATGTATTTTAAAAACACTCTTAATAGCCATTTCATATTCATTTGAATTGCTATGAATGCCACAAGTCTTTTGTTCCTCATGTGTTAAAGTTTTATTTTATTAACCAGAACACATGGCAGAAATAGTTCAAATTTCCTATTCATAACAGCTTTTTTTAATTTATATTTTAATCAAAGTATTGAATTTCAATCCTAGGACTTTTTTTCTGCAGGTGAAGAAATTTCTACTACATTAAATGTATGTATCTATATGTATGTTTGTGTATATACTTTATAATATCTAAATTAGTACCTTACAAAAAATATCAGCTAAATATTCATTTTGTCTATATTGTTGTTGAAAACAAAGAAGCTAACAAAACCCACAAAGGCCATCATCACTTCCTGTTTGCCAAACAGATATTACAACTACTTCACAGGCACATATTCAAATGACTACAGAACAGTATACTATCCAGTTTCTCACATATAAATGGGAAGGAGAAAATAAAAGCTAGTGGGTGAAATTATTATCATCATCATTGAAAAAAGAAAAAAAAAAGAAAAAAAAAAGAAAAACGAAAAAAAAGGAAAAAAAAGAAAAGAAAGAAGCGTACACTAAGTTTTCTTTAACAGACAGATTCACCCGAATTATCAAACAATATTCAGTGCTACGTTACAAGTCTAAATTAACTTTTCAAAACATGTACAAAACATATTCACACCAAAGGAAATTTTTTAAAGAAAGAGATGATATAAATTAGATGAGGCATGCACAGTAATCTTACGACAAAAATAGAAGAGCAAACTAATTAATAACAATATCTATATTAAATATTTACAATAGGATGTCGTTATTCACATATAGTGGTACTTACATCCCTGTACAGCCAAATCTACAGCCCAAACCAAAGTCAGATGTGAAAGAAAGCACAACAATGTCAGTGAGTACTAGGACGTAGAACAAGGAAAGTGTACATTTTGTTCTTAATAAAAGAAAGCTTTCAATAAATTTGTAGGCATAACATGCAATATTTTCACATAGAGAAGGTATTAGATTGAGAGAGAGAAAGCTGTGCAATCCACTCACATCTATGTAGTTGGCATTAATGTAATCTGAAGATGGATCATCTTCAACAGGTTGCAAAATCACCCTGGAGTGGTCATCTGTAAAAACCAAGTGGTTATGGTGCCTTTTTGAAGTGTGATTTTAAACTAAAATATTATGGTAAGTCCTCTAGAAAACCAAAATCTGCTGACACAAGCACAATACAATTTTTAGCCCTTAAATATAAGTGTTTACAAAGAACTACTAAGAGTCATTTTGTCTGTGATCTCCAATTACTTGAAAAACATCCATTAAATTTAATTAAGTGTAGCTGAAATGCATCACAGTGTTACATGCAGTAAAAGGACACAAAGAACCCAGGTTACTTGCTCAAAATCCCTTTCAAAACCAGATCCACTGATGGGCATCTAGAAATCCAGAAATAACGATTACTGTTCCCTTATTTCCAGCCCCAGTCTGTTTCAAGTTCATACTGACATTTCAAAGAAAATAAGAAAGTCACAAAGTAGCCATGAGCAACACACTTTGGATTTGATGAAGATAACCCTACCAGTTCAGGGGCCTCTCCAGTAGCTTCTTTCCTGTACATTCAATCGCTTTTGTAAAACAATAACAAATTGCATTATCCCAGATGATGAATCTAAACTATTGAAACTTTATGCCTAAAGACAAGAGACAGAACTCTCTGATTTTAATCATGTTATTTTTAATAATCAGCTTTAAACAACTGCAATTCAGATGTACCAACGACAAATAACATAAACCAGATAAGTTTCGAAGCTGTTAGTATTACCTGAAATAAATTATGACTGTAGAAAATTACTTCAGAATTACCACCCCAATGAGTGTTAGCTTGTCACTGTTATATGCTTACCACAGCTTGTACAACAGAGAGGCAAAGAAAAAGTAAGTGGAACTGTGAAGGACAAAAAAAAGTCCCAAAAAAGGCACTGCCATCCTTCCCTGATTGGGATAATTAGTAGATATGCCACCAGGGACTTTTTAAGGAGAGAACATGAAACAAGTACTACAGGAATATGTCTATCACTAAAACCATGCACACTGATACTCACATGCTATAATGTTTCCATAGCGATTCTTTGCTCTGTTTTGATCCTTCTTAGCGACATCCCAAGAAGCTGACTGCCCCTCAAAGAAACTCTATAAATAAAAATGTTCCGAAAGAAAACATTCCGACCATTAATTTACCTCCAAAAATAACCATTTAAAAGAACTTCCCTACCATAAAGTAAGTTGGCTCTGCTTGTCTGCTCTGGTCAGCCAGACGGCACTGCAGTCTAAAGAGGGAGGAAGGCTCTTCCTCCCTGTGACTGATATGGGTCAATGAGTAAGTCACTGAGGGAATCCAAATCTCAAATTCTGCTGGAAGGCTAAACATGCACACACACCCTTATTACAGATGAACCACTGCAAGTTGAGAAAACACAGGTAGATTGATCACCCTTCTTACAGAATGTCGTAATACGTAACCTGTTTACATTACATTACTTTCCTCATACAGTTTTGTGCAATGGCTTTTCTTTCTACAGAGCCATCAGAAAGCCTCCTCTGTCAGTGTTTATTGTTCATGCTGTTTTTACTCATGTCCCTCCCTCTAGCCAATAGCAAAATTATTTAGAATTTTTGATCTCTTCTTAAGAGTCTGATCTCTCAGTAGTGATAGATGTAGACTTTGCTCCTCCTGGGATTTTTCTTCATAGCCTGTAGATATTTTACAGCTGTTGCAGGTCTATACTACTGCCTCCTTCCAGATGTTCTCTTATCCTGAGCTGGACAAGTTAGCTCCAGAAAGTACACAGCAGCCACGGAAACAAAACTTTAATGCACATGCAGAAGCACAAGCCAGGGCAAAGATGTCACGTATGGCAGTAGAGAAAGTAGTAAGCAGGACAACACCTGATACGGGATCAGGGACAACCCTCCCCAAGCAGTCCTTGACACTGAAGGTAGGCAGAGTGTAACGAAGTGTATTTAAGTAAAAGAGAGGAAAAGAGAATAATATTCTTTTAAAAACCACACATTTATTTAGTCCAGTTCTTATGTTACAGTAGAGACAGCTGCAGAAAGGAGAGAAGGTTGAAAACTGAGTCAGAAGAGATTGCTTACTCAGAGAAAAGTCATTTTAAACCTAGCTGTATTGCATGCGACCTTGGCAGTATCATTCCCATCTTTACCTTGTGCCTGATGTTCTAATCCCAAAGAATCACAAAAAAGGTTTAGCAATCGGAAATGAAACGAATCTGTACTCATCTTCTGCCCCCAGTGCTGAAAATTTTGGGTTTTCCTTTTTAAATTAAAGTTGCAAGTGGACATGCTCAGGCAGATCTAATAAGGACCTCACGAAGTCACAACCCTCAGAACTTCTTTACTGCTTCTCAGATGGAGTTTAGCCCCAGTACTGCCCTACTGAGATGTCTAAATAAATCAAAGTAGTGCTTCCAGTCTGTGCTTCTGGCAAAACCAGCCAGGTTAAATCATCACTTTAACCTAATCTAGGAGATCTGAATTGAAGATGGCTAGGAAAACTCACATAACTGATTACAGAATTTCAATTAAGAAGCAGAGAAGAGGTGGCAAATTCTTACAATATATCAAAAACATTCAGCAGGGCATGTTTTCTCATACCCACAAGAAAACACACAGTGTTTTTTCCAGGCACTTGTAACAGCTCAAACCACTGCTCTCCAATCACTATTTCACTTTTGGGTTACATACCAAGGAATCTTCTGCCTGCTTATTTTTATTTTATTTTCACGTAGTCCAATGACATTTAGCTGCATCCTTTTGTAATGGAGTGCAAACTAAGGGCTGCAGCTTTCAAAAATAATTTTTTTGCTAGGAAAATATTTTGCAAGTTAAACCACTAAAGATCTCACCTCATACTCCTCTTTAAATCCATAGCTGTCAGAAGTCTTCATCAGGTTAATGTGCTGCAGTAGATCAGCCACTCTGATGGCAGGGTGCAGCTGCCCGGTCTGGTAGGGGGACTCTGTGCCTTCACATAGGTAACGGGGGACATCCAGGAGGCGACTGGACTCTGCTGTTGCACTATGATTTTCATCTGTGATCAAAAGAAATCAACACATTAGGTACCCATGGAGCAATATCTGCTGTCAGACCTATCAGTATCTATTTTTCAGCCTCTTCCTTCAAAAATATGTCTAATTTATGTGAATGTAAAGTACTTACTCTCCAACATATAGATCTTGGGAAGTACATAAAATAATTTAACTTCAAACACATACAAAAGTTTGCAACCCTACAGAAGTCTGAAGGGCATTTTATTTGAAGCTACAAAACTTTATGACATTAACGTACTTGTGAATTCCAGTCTCTATAATCCAAAGTAACTTTTTAATGGTTAATATGTATCATCAGTAATTTTACACCTTAAACAATAAATTTTAATAGCCATGTAGAGTTATCAGCACATCATTTTTCTAAAGCCAACAAACAGCAAACTGAGAAAACCAACTAAAACACTGAAGAAATTCTGCCATAGCTTCAGAAGACCAGCTCTGTCTGAGGAGAAGAATCAAGAGTTCAGAGTACGTATTTTAAGTCAAATCTTTAGTAGAAAAATAAAACTGCTGAGTACGTTGATTTTAGCTGCCATTTTTACTCTGCACAAATATAGAAATCTCCTTCAATGCCCTATATCACACTAATCCTTTTATCAAAACCAAACATTAAAACTGGGTGAAATGATCACATTTAGCCAATTTCTTCTGTGAAATATTGTAAATTGGCAATACAGAGGAACGAAGGTTCCAACTGAAATCTTTTTGGAAAGTAACTACGGAAATGAGCAGGGAACAGCTGACCTGATCCTACATTCATTTATTTCTTTGCAATCAGTCTACAAGTTTCCTTGCAAAGAATCCAGATTAAGAAGTAAAAATCAGGAAAAAAAAACAGACACTCCAAGGGTTGGATTTACTTCAATTCTGCCAAAATGCAAAACCTGTTAATGCCTTCTAGAATGAGATATCGTAGTAAGAAACCTGATTCCTTGAACTGTCACACGAGTTGCTAATTTCAGTGCATTAATGCCTCACTACATTGCTTAATAATGTGAGTGACATGCAGCAGTCAATCATATTAAATTATATACAATTCAAAACAATTCAGAATTTTCAGTTTTTCCCATTCCATGCTATATACTTACCAGTAATAGGCACTTTAACCCATTGAAGCAGCAAAAAACAACAAGTGAACAGAACATAAGAAATGTATTTCAGGATTATATTAGAAAATGACTAGAATAAAATGACATTAAAAGTTGTTAAACCTTCACAAATGAAAGCAGTTTTAAAAATATAAGGGCTACATTATGCAATCAATGTAATGATAGGGATTTGAAAAAAAAGCGAAATTGTCATACTAAGTTTGGGCTAATGTACACAGAATGGAGTGTGGTGTTAATAAGTCATAGGCGAAGAAAAAGAAATCTAGTACAGCTACTAATAACAGCTTCACACAAAATAAATCTGCCTCTAATTCAGAACCCATACAATTTTGTTCATCTCTAAATAAAGCAGATGTAATTGTGACGCTGTTTTGTCAAGCCAAGGAAAGGTTATATGGAGAAGGAGCAGGCCAGATGATCTCAGCTATCCAACCCCTTCCACACGGCGTGCCCAGAAGGTTGCCTATCTCTCTTCACTGTCAGTCTCAGTAATGGAAAATATTAACACTTCCAACTAGCACTGTTGTGCTTGTGCTAGGAGACTATCATGCCCCAAATACCATTACCAGGAGATAGAAATTTGAACAGGAACTGTTAAAATGTTCTTCTGTTCATGCCTTGTCCTTGCTGTGTCTGTGCCTGCCCCAAGGCAGTGACAGTGGACTGACTATTGCAATGTGCTCACAGCCCAAATAAGCTATTAGGGATAGTTTGCCTTGTATCACTGAAGAATACCTATGTAAATAGTGTGAGCCTGACATAAAGCTGAAGAATATGAAAAGTCATACAAGAAGTTCAAGAAAAGGCTCATTATTAAATGAATTTTAAGTCCACTGATCTTACTTTGGTAAGTATTTAGAATCACTAAGTCTAACCCTTCGGTCTCTCAGGAAACTGTGATATTTCACCTCTCCTCACAAACATCTTAAATCACATGGTTACATTTCCTTAGGTCTAAAGCGGAAAGCATATTATGGCCCTGATGATTATAAATCTTCCTAGGCATTATCATGCTTGATTGTTATTATAGTTATGAAAATGTCATTTGCAACATTTTCAAAAGGAAGCAGAATATGGCTTGTAAATCTTCTACATTGTGAGTAGACACCTTCTTGACAAAGATGAGAGAGCTCTCACAAAGTAGCAGATAACGATTTACTGTCAGTCTCAGAAGACAATTTAAATGAAGATCTGCAAAGGCTCTATCAATATTTTTATGTACAACTTGCATAGTGGGATAAAAAATACCTTGATTATATTGGATTTGATGTCAAAGTTATTTTGATTATTTGGGACATGCATAAATTAACACAGTGAATTAAACAAAGAATGTAACAGCTAGGAAAGAGAAGTAAAATATATCGCTACAAAATGGACTCGTGGATTGGGTAATGATAGTTGAGATTTTAGCAGATAATTGAGTACAAGTCAGCAACACAAGCACAGAAAAAAAGGACAAAATATGGTTCAGGTAGCAGGACCACTGTGAGTAGGGCATGTGGGTACCTATTCCAGCCAACTCCACATTGAGACAGCTCCTAAAAACTTTTAACTGATTTTGGGCACCACAATTCAAAAATTTGATCTATCAGTTGGAAAGTGTTCAGAGAAGAAGAGATAAAAACTTTAGAAAACATTAACTATGAAATAATGACTGAAAGAACTGGGTTTAGTCCAACTGGAAGAGAGACAATAGAGAACATAGGAAAAATGTATTGTGTAAATGACTGTTTTACAAGGACAAGAGTGTGCCAGTTCTCCATATTTTCTACGAGTCTCTCAAAAGGAAATTATTCAATCTCCAGCAATGAAGATTCAGTCTAGACAAGTCTAGTTAGGAAAACCTGGAGTGAGTAGTAATGACACTCAGTTGTAACAGTCTGTTAATAATCATAGAATCATAGAATCTCCAAGGTTGGAAAAGACCCACAGGATCACCCAGTCCAACCGTCCACCTATCACCAATAGCTCTCACTAAACTGTATCCCTCAAAACAATATCTAAATGTTCCTTGAACACCTACAGGGTCAGTGACTCCACCATCTCCCAGGGCAGCCCATTCCAGTGCCTGACCACTCTTTCAGAGAAGTAGTATTTCCTAATGACCAGTTAGGACGTAAGTAGTATTTGGTGAGAAAACTGAGCTTTGGTTGAAAATTTTTAGAAAAAGTAAGACAATCTATAGCCAGAAACAATCTAGATCAGTCTAGAAAGTACACAAATCCATCTCAAGATAGAAGAGGGATTAAATTGTCTTTGCATTTTAGATTTAAATCTAACTCCTAAAAGAAGAGCTTTCAGCATTGGAAATGGTAGAAATAAATGGGTTGGCCACTCCCAGCATCTGTTGTTCTTTTTAAGGCAATTATGAAGTTGAGAAGCTTACTAATTAAGGTTAACTGAGACATTTATGGGGATATTTGTATAGAATGAACAAACAAAGCTTTCTGCTTGGATACTACAGAAACTTTTCCCTTTAATATTTTTCTTTTCCTTCTTGTTACTCAGTTAGAAAACTCAGCTTTAGGTGCCAAGTAACACTGATACGGATCTGATTTTTTTACATGTGTCTTTTTAGAGAATTTTACTCTCACACATTAGTTCATCTCAACTCAATTTGAATGCTTTGGGAAAAAATGTTTTAGAACTTTCAATTTACCTATTTATTTATTCTTCAGATAGCACTGACTAGGAGTAATTTTGTGATAACAGCATAGCTATCTTTTACATAAAACAAGCTGTTTCAACGTTCAACCATGCAAGGAGATGAAACTCATGCAAGAATGGATAATGAAGGACTAGGGTCCTCACCTAACACAGCTGTCGGCACAAGTGGATCATTGGGCACTGCAGAAAAACAAAGCTCATGAAGAAATACATTACCTTCAAATTGTGTATTTTTAAGAATAAAAACAATATACTTTAAGAATAAAATGTCCAAGTGGTAACTAAATCCTATTAATTTTTTACAACAGGAAAAAAGAATGAATACACAGTTACAGAATGCATCCTGAATAAAAGAGAAGTGAAAGGTGGTGATTTTGGTTTCAGAAATGTAATGACAAAGAGATTCTTACTGATATGAAATAAAGAAGGTATTACGTGCAATTTAGTTTTTGAAAGGTCTCCTCTTTCACTATTGTTCTTTTTCTTCACAATAAAGGTTCATATTCATATACCCAGGTCTTTTCCTTTTAAATTCATTCTCTCATGTAATACTTGAACAGCTTGTCTCAAAATAAAATGGTATTCCTTCAAAAATCTTAGAAGTAATTTAAAAGAATTACATGCATATTTACAAGCTACTAGCTTTTTTTAATGCAAAATAATAAAGATACTGCTTTTAATGAGTTTAAACCAGATACACAGATTTAACTGCTTGTACAAAATTCACAGAATTTTACCATTCATTCTTACAACTAGAACTGTGCAGAGACAAATACACTGTTTTGGGTGGGAAAGGCAGAATCCAGAATTGATTTTGTTCCAGTCTGGAACAAAAAATTAAAGCATCCATAGCTCTGTAACAAAATGGAGCTCCAATTCTGAAGCAAATTGCCTAATAGTGTGTCCTATAACTGAAAGCCCAGAAACCTGAAAGGTTGCTTTTTTATTTGTTTGTATTTTTAACGTCAGAACATATAATGATTAGGAGAACGGAATCCTCCAACATTCCCAAAATCTAGGATGCTGCAAAAGTGTTATCTCAGACTCCTATGCCAGACAACTAGGACAGCTATTGTGGCTGGGCCTTGTGGACTCATGGCTTCAGGTCAGTCTATCCAGAAGGCTGCCCAAGTGCCTGGCAGCCCTGGCTCAATATGAACCACATAGGTACCTGGTGGATACTTTGTCTAGGATCTACAATAACAGACCAAATTGAACTGTCTTCGTAAAGCTGTCTACACGAATTTCAATGCCATTAGGACATCAAACTTTGGAGTATTTTCAAACAGTTCTAGCCAAAACAGCACAAAACCTCACAGGCTGATACTATTATAATTGGTTATGAGACACCTTAAATGTTAGCACTCTGCAGTTTTGTAGTTTGGTAAGCCTCAATAAACTAAGCAATGATCCTTTTCCAAACTCGATTTCCCTTAAAACAATCAGGAAAAAAATTAACAGCCTTAAGGGAGCATTTTGCTGAAGCATGAAAAGCAGTATGGGAGGTGGGAGAAGGGGTGCTATGCCCAAATGACAGAAAATTCAGAAGCAGCTCAAACTTCAGGTCTGTTTAAAGCCAAATTCGTGGTGCTATGGAGTCAGATTCCTGCCAGCTCCAAGGCAGAACTAGTTTAGAGACAAAGTTAGTGGAGTGTCTTGCTTTTGTGCGTGCCATGCTGCAGATGCTGGAAGGCAGGCAAGGCTGGACTTTCAGTGGTAACTACAACCCAGACATTTAAACAGTCAGAAGCCGAAACTGCCAAATTTTGTCAAAATAAAGCATCTGGCAAGTCTACAACAAAGAAATACAAATATAGAGCAAATCTGCTGGTATATTAACATGCTTGTTCCTAAACTTCACAAACAGCCATGAAATTTGTCAATGTTTCCTTCTGTTATAATGTCCTTACTGCCAAAAGAAAGAATATTTTTTGGACTTAGTGTTATTATTCATTATAGACATGGTGTTACGCACTAATATTTAACATCTTAGTATAAAATATCCTCACAAAGGAAAACTATTTCTGAATTTAATTGAGACATTTCAGGAATGTAATTTTTCCCCAGAATCAGTATCTGAAATTGCATGTAAATATTTAAACAATTGGCCATACATCACCTAAGGATAACATGTGAATGCCCCTACTCAACATCCCTTTGCATTTACTGGTCCTCCTAGAAATCCTAGAGCTTAGAATAATTTTCCTAAAAAAAAAAAAGTAGAATATCCATAGAAGAAAATCAAATTACTTACATCTGGGGCTGAAGTTATGAGAGTCCATAAATGTGATTGAAAGGGGATCCTCTGCATGCAAGGTGCTCTGGTCAGCGTAACTTCTATCCATTGCATTCACCATGTGTGTCATCTCCTGACGGGTGGTTCCCATGGCATCCTTGCGCTTCTTTGCAAGTTTGCTGCCCAGCCAAAAAAAAACACCCATGCCACCTTAATATTTGATGAATACTGATATCTACAACAATAATTATCTATAATTCAATGACAGAGGAGTTTGACTGGTTTTCCTATATAAACCTTTGCCAGCATGAAATTGATAAAACTACGTACCTTGCTATAAAAGAGTTATGATGGCATGTTTTAGATACACACACAAATGCTGTAATTAAAGTTCTAACTTCTGTACCCTGATCATATTTTTTTCCTGCAGAGTAATTACACTAATATAAACAAATTAGAGAATATAATTACATTTTAACTGAAATGATAAATAAGAAGCATCTGTGCATGCAGTTTTATCAACCATCTCCATTTAAATCTGTGTTTTGATTTTATAAATGGATAATTAATTCCTCTTGCTTTCCATGTTAGGAAGAAATCATTTATCATTTTAAATGACTCTGTTAGTCAAAAAACCACACTAAGAAATAAAAAGAAAAACACAATTATTCAAGATCAATTCATATTACCTTTTATGCTAGAAGTTGTTCCTCTCATTCAGTATATAAGACACAACATGATACCACCATCTTTGCTCTTGACACCAAAATTTTGTTCTTTAAAAAACAAAAAGTCCTCCAGTCTCATCATTCTACATGAAGTTTGGGAGTATCTCACATTTTATATTAACAGCCTTACCCTGTACCACAGCAAAGCTGTTAGCAACCTAACCTGTAAAACTAACCCTCCAAAATTAACAGGTAGTATCTGTAAAGTGACATTTTCTCCTTTGGATGAAGACCTGAAAGGAATATCCACTCAGAAGTCCTCCGAGACAGATGGAAATAGATGCTACATTTTAATTATCACTTCAAGACTACTCTTAATAGAGCAGCACAAAGTCTGTGAAACAGCATGAAGTGTACATTGGATCTTTAGGAATCTGTAACATACATTGAACTGTTCTATAATCTTAATATTTTCTTCCTGTTTTCAACCGAAGCTGTCATAGCAATATAACAGAAAGCCAACCTGCTTCTTTGCATGAATCTGATGCTACATGGGAGAAACACAATCATCAGTGAAAATATCACACTCTCAAAGGAATATATATTTAAAGCACAGCATAATTTCCTGAGTTTTTTTTTTCTACAAACAATAATATGAGATATCCTGGTAAGTGTTTGTACAATGCTTATTTTATATTTCTCTAAATAAGAGGACATCAGTGGAAATTATCAATTCATGTACATCTTAAGCCCTGGGAAAACCCACCAGAAATGTCCTACAACATTCTCTAGGGAAAGGAGCACTTCATGTCTCATATACTTTCTTCCTCAGTGTCAGAAGACTGCTTTCCAAGCTAACAGTCTTAGTTTGCAGGTAAGGGGCTACACAAAGTAGACTACACACAGACAAAGCACACCTCAGAGTAACCAAGTTCCTTCATTAATCAGACTTATCTTAGATCTTTTTCCTTTTTTCTTTTTTTCCCCCTCCTTCACTATTTGTCTAGTTGGTTAATTACTATCAGAATCCCAAAGATGGGCTCTAAATATATCATTTTTCACCTTGTGGTGTACATGAGAGTTCTGTTTATTTTAGTTGTTCGGTGAAAAGTAAAAAAAAAAAAAAAACAAAACCAAAAACAAACCAAAACAAACAAGCAAAAAAAAAAAAACAACCCAGAAAACTGAAACAGTGACAGCTAGACACCTTATTTTATCTTTTCTCCAGACATTCATGTTTACTTAAAAAAAGCTGGTTTAAACAATACTCTGGTTGAACAAATGTTTTAAGCGCATCAGAACTTCCAGGTGTGAAACTATTTGAGCTCTATATCTGGTTCCCAATGCTATCAAAGCTTTTGCAAAACTGGCATTTCTAGATCAGACTTTTTACTTATTTATTTATTTATTTTTAAAGTTTCAAAGCCTTTCAGATATTCTCCATACACTGAAGATCACATTTTTCTAAAGCTACCTCAGGAATGGAACAAAAAGACTATTACGTCTTGTCTGTTGAATGCATTAAGCTCTCCTTTGAAGAATCACTTTGTAACAAAACTTGCTAGCTATGCTAAACAAATCAACAGCTATTAAGCTTTCAAGTTATTAGCTTATTACAGAAGCAAGGTTTATAATTCTTATGCTCTGCTTTGACTTCTAAAAAGGCCTATTGTGTTCTAGTATTGCTGCTCAATGTAGGACAGTTTTATTGTTTAACAGCTCCTAATTCCCTGTGGGCTTGATTTTTTTTTTCCCCCTCTTCCATATGCAATCTATGCTTGATGATAGTTAAGCAAATCTCTATGCAGCACTGGAGGCTGGCAGAACTGCAAGTGATTCTCATTACACGCTGGAGATCCCACGGCCTGAACCTGTGCAGGTGTTGGTGAATGGAAGCTTGAAGGGAAAAGTGCTCAATCCTGGTGTGGAACAGCACAGTTAATTATCTCTAGCTGAAGCAATTGTTATTTAACAGGGAAATTAGAATTCATCACAATATACCAGAGAATGGCAGTTAGCTAAAGCAAGCTTAGCTTTTAAATATCAAGTTTGTTTAAAAGAAGTCAACTAATCTGCTTAAAAATATGGAAGAGCATCACTATCGGACACCGCAGTCATCAGAGGACTGAAGTGCACTCTTTGATCCTTCTCTGAAATCAAGGGCTTTCTGCATAACTTCAAAAATAAGAATGCATTTTCTTGGTCACAGTCAAAACCGTTGCAGCCCTCAGAAAAACTCGCTAGGTCAACTCCACATAGAAAAATGTCAATTTTGCTTCAATGAAGCAAAATCTCATTCAAACCTTTGTCATACAGTAAGATCCACACTTTAAAATCTGCCTGTAAAGCTCTTGATAAGCCAACAGGCACAGGCTTCATCACAAAAACATATTTCTGTAAAAAAGATTAATAAAAATCTCCAGTGTTCCTAGCATTGGGACAGAGGTGCTGCTCTCCCAAGGGTAGGGCACTGACTTGTTTATAAAGGGCTGGCATCCATGCATATATGACTGAGAAGTGCATAGGACCACTTCTGACATGGTATGTTACGAAAGAACAACTTGTGATCTACAAGCACAGGACTCTATCTAGGAAATGGGAAAGGAGATTTTTTTTCTTAGTGTGATCCATCACTGTGAATCATAATGCAAATTAAATTATGATTACAATAAACTAAAATGACACTCATGGGAAAAACTAGCAAAAACCAATGTGTCAATATACAGTTAGAAATACAATATCCCTTTAAAAAAAAACAAAAACAGGGAGTAACAGAAACAAAGAAAGCACATTTTCAAGCCTGAGAATAAGGTGAAATCACTATCAATAAAAGTTTAGGAAAATTATAAAGACTTTTTCTTTTTTTAAAAAGGGATACTGCATCATTAAAACATGTAAAATAGTAAGTCACCCGTATTCTACTTACAGATAGTAGGAGTAAGAATAGTAGCTCCTCCTGGCAAGCAAATCACAGACAGTGGAAAAAGAGAAGCAATGGTGAATGAAAAGCGTGACTCTGTCACATTCAATAAAGCAGAGAAATGTGCGTTTAAAAAAAAATCGAAAAATTCATGTTTCTTTGGTTAGCATTTCAACTTGCTCATGCACAAATTAGCCTTACTTTGCCATGCAATTAAAAAAAAATACACTAGCATATAAAAATGATTGTTTTTTTAGAAAGATCACTTGAGAAAATTACATGCTGAGGTTTCATTTATTGCCAAAAAATTTGAAAATTAAATGGATTGTGTACTTTCAACATGCAGTTCAGCATAATATAATGATTACCACCTAAATGTCATGACAAATGAACAGCTGTGTACAAATCTTGTGCAGGAAGTATGTGTTTTACTTTTCAGTTACAAAAATAAAGATGGCATTAATAAATACATTTAAGCAGAAAACAAGTTTCATGTCATTCAATTTGACATCGTTATTGGTACACAGGTGTAGATATATATGTTTGCATACATATTATATGTAGCTATATGAGTACACACATAATAGAGAATGTACAGATATGTGATATGTGTGTACTGACATATATACCACACATTTCCTGGATGCAAACATGTGTCTTATTTTAAAATCTTATAATTGAAAATGCTGATGTATTCATGCTAAGCATTAAGAATATGGAAGGGAAACAAATGGAAGGAAATGAAGAACGTTTGGAGATAGTCCAACAGTGATTTGAAAAAAAAAACAAAAAACAAAAAACAAAAAAACAAAAAAACAAAAAAATGGCATTGCTTGTTAAAGATGCAGTATCCCTTTTCTTAGTTGGTTTGATGACTCCAGTAAAACTCTGTACGAGCTCTTAAGAGCTTAATTCAGTAAAACTTCAAACCAATTTGTACAAAATGATCAGGCGAAGCCCATGAACAAAACTGCTTAGTACTCTATTTTTCTATAAAATGTAATGCTGCATTTAATCCGATTTAGATAGCTATGGCAGGGCACGAGGCTTAATAAAGCAATGAAAATGCAGAAACCATTGTTTTATCGATGTTTCTGTGAAATAAGTTGAGGTCAATTCAGGTACCAAAAGGGATACTACATAATGGATCAGCGAATATGTACACTACAGCAGATGAATAAAACTGATCAGTTTTCAGTCCCACACTCTAACTGATGTGTGCTTATGTATGTGTGAACGTGTCAGTGTTGGTACCGCTGCTCCTGGCTTTGTTATACGGATGGCCCTGGCTCACTAGGTGGACTGAATTCACTCAGGTATGCAGCCTGAGACCTTGGCTAAAGCTGAGATTAAAACAGTGGTCCACTTTTCCTAAAGGGGGGAGATGGGGGACTGACACTCCTACAAAATATATGACAGGCAACCAATTAAACTATCATGAAGAAAAATTACCATACACTAAAGATTTATTAAACAAGCTTATTTCTCACCTATTTTTAATACAGTACAGAATAGTACAGGAGCTATTTCTTTTGTTACCTGTAAAACTAGCCAAACCCATGTGGAAGTGACTGACAGTACAGAGTAACAGACAGTCTCACACACGCACACACACAGGCACCTATTAAACACAAGGGAAGCACTGCAGCACACAGCCAGGAGCTGATATTCCCCAGCACATCTCTCACAATGATGATAAAAGATAAGAGATTTATTCCTGAAAGCTGAAAAACAACTTCTTGTTGGTTTTGTTCTTCAAAAGTTGTGTAAATAAAGGAAATTGCCTGACTGTGTGTCTTCTTTTTTGGTAGTGATGAGTTGGATCTTTTGCATATGTGTTAATTCTCAACCACAGAGTAAACAACAGAGAAAAGTAAAAGCACTTTTGGGAAAAATCACGTATGTAGCTAACTAACACAGAACACTGTAAGCATACCTAATGTTTCTAATGCAGACGTTTCTTCTCCAAGTTATATATCTCCAGGGATAATTGTAAAGAGGCAATAAATTAAAAAAATCTAATGGAAACCAGTGATTACAACATATAGAATGATCTTAGGCACAATTGTAATGTTTTCTTACTCTTTAAAAATAATAGAAAGCTGTATTTCAGAGGAACATTTCAAACATTCACAAATATACCCTTCATCAAGGATTCTAACGAGGGAAAGGGAAGGCAGCGCACAAACACCTGGAAGACAAAGGTCTCATTCTATGCAGGAGCGATCTGCGCACCGGGAAGGGGACAGGCTGGGGAAAGGGCAAACAGAGAGGAGGAATTTCTATTGGGAGCTACGGTGCTACGACTACAGATTTACAGAGCCACATTATGAACTTTTATGTCAGGTTAAAAGAGTTGCAACTACTGGGGAGCGAACACTCTTTAAAAGCGCCCGAGCAGCGCCGGAGCAGCAGCTCACACTCAGCAGCAGTAAGTTCCCGCAGATGGCGCTATTGCTTATTGTCTAAGAAAGCACTAAAAAATTAAAATTCATTCAGATTAATACACTTTTAAACAATTTCATGCACTAAGGAGTCACTAGATAATTTTACAGTGATGTGGTATGACTTTTAAGAAAAAACTAGGTTTACAAGAGCATAAACAGAGGTATAAAATTACATTATTTTGCAAGTTGGATAATATGAGGATACAAACAACTCATTAGAGCTGCATATGGCAAATCAAATTCATTAGGTGATTACAACATAAAAAGTGCTCTAAGTTACTCTTTTTATTTTTCTTCTTCATAAATAAGACCCATTAATTTCAATTCCACCCATTCTAATATTCTGTACATTCATCCAAGTGCAACTTAAAACTACACAGAAATGAGTAGGTTTGAGAAAATGTGCAGTTATCAGATCCCAAGTATCAAATAAAACACTCTTTAAATCCATCACAAGAACCACAGGAAAAACAAAAACAAAAACAAAAACAAAATAATCCAATGGGAAATACAGTGAACTCATCCAAAAGCTACAGAACCCTAGACTACTTATTTATTTATTTATCTAAAGACCTGTAAAAAAATTCCTTTTAGTTATTGTTGTTTGATATAGAGGAAAAAGCAAATTGTCACAAATCATTTTCTTACCTTTTTTTTACGATTAATACGACAACAAGGAGAAGCAGGATGAATACCAGAATTCCAGCACTTATTCCTGCTATTTTCACCACCCGATCTGTCTGCTTTGCTGGATCTGGAATCACCTCAGGTTCTTCTGTTGCTGCTGCTAAATTAATAAAAAAATAAGTTGCTTAAATTGGTAAGTACTAGAGACATGAAAATTAATGTTGATTATAATCTCCAAATGTGTGCTCATATAGAAACCAAAATACAGACACATGTATTGTGTTTATACACCTACATATACATATATAGAGATTTATGTACTTTAATCTATATGCCATACAAATCTGTAAGTCTATATGTGACTATATGTTTGTATACAGGTGTGTATATGTAATTTTGCATGTGCAGAAGTGTTGTACACATCTGGGTTTACAAAGCAGAAGTACATTTTTACAGAGACAATCTATCAACTGAATCACACTTATCACCTTCACTGTTAGTTTTACAGATACTAAATATGGAATATTTAACACGAAATAGCAAGATTATGCAACTTCCAAAGAGTAAATCAACCTGCTGCCAGAACCCTACACAGTATAGTCCTTTTCTCTTACACACAGTTTCAGTTCACCTTTGCTGAATAATTCTCCAAGGAGCACCTAGTCTGAGATCTGCATTCTATACCATAAATCCATTTTATTGTAAGTGTGACTTGAAGTTTTGATTCTCCTCATAAAGCCATCCACAAATCCAAGCCTAGATTCAGCAGCAGTTTTATTTCTGTGTATAAAGAAAAAAAAAATCACTGTTCTACACACAGAGATGAAGCCATTCTGCAATTCAGCTGAGCAGGCTGAGGCCACAGGTTACAGCAGAGAGGAAAGCAGAATATTTCAATGTGCACAGCTATTCGGTCTACACCTTTCTGCACTGCAGTCTAGTGTACAAAGGATCAGGAACATGGGATTTTTCAGCTTGGTGGAAATATCAAAAAGCATAAATAAGTTTCAGCTGGGGGTAAAATCCCATGAGGTGTTTATTCGTAAAACAGCAAATAGCTCCTCAGTTTCCTGGTTCCTTCTTTCTAACTCTGTGGGGTTAATGCTTTGTCTTTTCCCTGCTCCCAGAGTGAATGTGAGCTCGCTCTCTCTCCCTCTGATCAGTTCCCTCTCCTTCTCCAAATGGCACACGCGCAGGAGATGCCACTTAACCTCTCCCCTCTCACAGCAGTTGCATGTGAGGCATTTACAAGTCACTGGTAACATCATGTGTACATCGTTACACACAAAATACCCTTTATGTTGGAACTGAAATGCTTCTCAGGAAATGAACAAAACCAAAAAGAATGATAAACTAGGTAAAGCCCCACCAGAGAAAGACTATCATTCTCTCGAGAACTGGCCCCAAGTTTCTCTCAGAAAATCTCTGGAGTTGAAATCTGGGATAACACGCAATACTTTCTGATTTTAGCCACATTACTCACAACACTTCGATTTGGATTTCCTGTGCAGGAAGACATTTTAGGAGGAGAAGGAAGGATAGGGTAGTATTAAAAAAAAATCATTCTTTATTACTTGCTTATGTACCTGCATCTCAGAAGTATCTGAATCACTCACTAACACCTTATTCTCAGATAGGCACATGCTGACTTCCAGACACCCCTGCAGAAGCTGGGCAGACAGTGAGAAACCTGGTAGTGCTTTAATCATAGAGCTTAAGATTCCATCACCATAATAATCTTTCTCTCGTACAGCTTGAACTCTGTCCACTGAGACATATGAAATACATCATAGAATCATTAAGGTTGGAAAAGACCTCTAAGATCATCTAGTCCAAACATCCACTTACCACCAATACTGCCCACTAGACCTGAGTATTTCCTTTTCCTTAAACACCTGCAGGGATGATGACTCCACCAGTTCCCCGGAAAACATGCTCCAATGTCCAACCAATCTTTCTGAAAAGGGATTAATCCTCACATCCAATCTGAACCCCTCTTGGTGCAATTTGAAGCCATTCCCTCTTGTTCTATCACTGTTACCTGGGAGAAGTGGCTGATCCCCACCTCACCACAATTTCCTTTCAGGTAGTTGTAGAGAGTGATAAGGTCTCCACTAAGCCTTCTCTTCTCCAAACTAAACAATCCCATTTCCCTCATTTGTTCCTCATAAAGCTTGTGCTCCAGACCCTCATCAACTTTGTTGCCCTTCTCTGAACAAGCTCCAGGGCCTGTGTCTTTCTTGTAGTGATGGGCCCAAAACTCAACACAGCACTCAAGGTGCATCCTCATTACAACTGAGTACATGGGGACAATCACTTCTCTGTTCTTGCTGATTGCACTGTTTCTGATACAAACTAGGATGCCATTGGCTTTCTTGGCCCCCTGGGTACACTCACTGCTGGCTTAATTTCTGCTAAGCATCTATCAGCACATACAGATGTCTTCCCTCTCTGCAGTTTTCCTGCTACTCTGACTCAAGCCTGTAGTGATGCATAGGGTTGTTGTGACCCTTCCCCTTGGCATAAATACATGTCATAAATAGAAGTCCATATTCCCAGTGGACTCACTACTGGATATTTTGTTTGTATTAAATGTTGTTGAAGTATCAGGGTGAGGAAAGTGATGTGTGTAGCTGCATACACACAACACACACACACAGGCTAGAACTAGTGCCATATAACCATAAGATGCCATCTAAAAGAACATGCTAGAGATAATTTTTAGTATGGAATTGAAAGAAGGTGTCCAAAATTCTAAAGACTTATAACCCACCAACTTGTGATCTACTGAGTTGGATACAGTGAACACGAATGAACATTTGGTAAGCAGCAGAGTCAAATAATGAATCAGTAGGGTCAAAACATCAGTGAAAGCTGAACTATAAATGGCTTTATTTAGGAATGGAAAAAAACTTTGTTCGATGTATGGAATTCTGAGAAACAAGGACATGGGAAGGGTGGACAGTGAGAATACTGGAGCACAGCAGTAGCTGTGAGGTTTGGAGTCACCATGAGTACCAAAGGAGTACAGCTGAGAAGCACTGAGCACACAATGAGAAATGCTGCTCAAGTTGCAGAACAAGAATAGCCTGCACAAGAGATTTCATTGTGTGGATGGATGGAGATTTGAGGCTCCATCTCTGAGACATTTCAAAACACAAATCACAAGAACTGGATGTGACCTGAACGTGCACTTTGAAAGCCAAAGACTCAAAGATCTATCCAAAGCACACTTTGAACCACATGAGGATAGTGATATTTCCACAGCAGTATTAATGAGAGATGAGAGAGTAAAGGGAAGAAATTAAGAGACCTATCTCAGTTTCTCTGTAGAAAGATATGACAGTTGAATCTGGATAGTCAGTAACTGTTCCAAACATAGTTTTCTGTCCATGTACTTGGAATAATGACAGAGAATCAGGAGGATATCAACTGCTTGTCCACTTATTCTGGTTTCTTTACATGAATGGGTTTGAAATAAGAGACATTAACTCATTCTGTTAACTTTAATACTGTTTAGAAGACAAAGCTGCTGCCTGCTGGAAACATACCAAAGAGTCCTAAATTAGGGGAGACAAATTATACTGAATAGTCCTAGGCTAGACATGCATACACAATGGTTGAGTGCCATATACCCAAAACATTGAAATTCACTGGCAAAATGCTATCCTTCTCTCTTGCATCAACAGTGAAATTCCTTTTGATGTAAATGAAGCCAGGATTATTACATGTAAGTTTCTAGCCACAGATAGTATATACATTCTCTAACTAATGATAAGTTTAGAGGTTATATGAAAGCAATTACAGATATAAATTTCTGCAATATATTACATGTATTTGCACTGTGTGCACATTTTTTTAGTACCCTGAGAAAGCCATTGAATGTAGCATAGTATCCTTTAATGACATTCAGAAATTTGAAAGTTTTACATGTTATTTTTAATTTTGATATTTTATTGATTTATGCCTTCCATTGCCTCTGCTATAAGAAAGCAATTGTATGAGCAGTCAGACATATGTAAGAGGAATACGAAAGGAAATAAAAATACACAGGGAATTTAAAAAATTCTGTACATATAACTGTGTTAATTAGGAGATGCTGAAGCAGCAATGTTCCTGTAACTGCGGTAAGCCTGCACATTTTGATGAACTAAGAGCATACACAGACTTGCCATAACAATGCAGCCTTGCCAGAGACAAAGAACCATATGAGTGCACTGCAAAATTGCAGTGACTTCTGTGAACTTACACACATAAACACAAAGGAAGAAAACACAGAAACCTTGTGCCTGTTTAACCCCCCACTACAAGATTGTGCCTTCTGGTTTTTAATTGCTCAAGAACAACGTGGGAAGAGAAACTCCTGACATTTACTCAGAATTTGCTCTCTAAGCCTTCTAGACTACAGGACTGCAAGGAATTCTCTTTCTCTTAAGCAGTTGTTATACAGGCTCAGTTGTTTTTGCTAAATGAAACAACTCAACTACAGCAGGAACACAGCAGCTTTTGGGCTAACTTTTTATGCATTAGTTCCCACCTGAGTACATGTTATTCTTAGTGTGTTCAGTTTAAAATCTAACGTTGTTTTTTCTTCCCATTTCTGATACTGCAGTGCAGTAGATGACTGTAGTAGGTTTCTAAGTATATGTTGGGAAGACAAGTTATCGAGACACTCATCTTAGCCATATTCTTTACGATTTTCTATTTCTTTTTCATCTAACACTAACCATTATTTTTTTCATTTTTCTACTTTTATCCATTTCTTCCTAGAAAAGGACTTCCCTACGTTACTGTTAACATATTTTCTGCATAAGACTAGATAACATAATTTCACAGTTTTTCTTCTGGTGAATTGTGAACATAAAAATAATAAAATTTTCAATTACTATATATTTCTAAGTAGGGCAAGAACTGTAAAAATTATTAAAGTTATAAAAAATCTTGCTGTACTAATTCTTAGTGTTCTTCTTTTTTAGCAATCTAGTCCTACAGTCCCTTCTGATACCTTGAACAGCAGACTGGATTAAAAGACAATTTATTAGTTAAAAAAAAACAAAACTCGAGCATAACAACACAATAGTAACAGTGATCATAGGAAAATGGACTCAGCTTTTAATTCCTTTGGCCAATCTTACTCTAAAAGGCATTTAAATAAGTATT